TTAAAAAAAATTAATTATTAAGTGATAATATTTATAAGATATTAACTATATTTACTTTTCATTTTTATCACTAATCACATATCATTTACTACTAGGCCAATTCCCAAGCGTTTACTACTTTTTAATTTATAGTTGATAAAATGTGTAAGGTTCTATCAAATTTAAGTTGCTATTTTTCTTGAACTTACACAATTTCATTGGAGCAGCCAAAAATATGAATTTTAAATTAAATTTATAAAGTAATTGATCAACTCATAAAATATAGGCTGGTTGTATAATGATTGATGAGTCTATTTTGAAGCAGTGTGTTTCTTTAAGGTCTTGAGAAAAACAAATAGGGATGGATACCTGCAAAGTATTTTCACACTCAAATCAATAGGTAATCCAACATGTTTTTGTATGTGGAAAGATTTTTTTGGGATAAGTTTCCTCCACGAGGAATAATCCTGTTCAGGACGACTCCAATATTAAGATTTTAAATCTTTTTCATAGATAATATTAGAGAGAATCGTATGTGAAAAGTTTTTATGTACCTTTGAGGGGAGCCCTTGTATTTACATAGTTATAATATGGCATGCTTCGTGCCATTCCGCCATTGGTTAGCTATTGAGATGATGCTGCGAGTTCTGCCGAATGATAGAGCAACATAGTTTTCATCCTTGACTGGTACTCCTTCTAGAGGTCAGAGGTTACTTCATTGGAGGGTAAGGTTTTAATCCCTTAAAATGTGATAAACTATACTCATAAGGTTTATAGAATGATTATTTCTCATTTTTTTTTTCCATTTAACATGATCAAATTATGTAAAACGATCTTAGTCGACTATAATTAAATCAATAATGACAGGAGATGAGACAGAGGCTATCTCAATTATCCACAAATAAATTATGGGTGACGAGAGATGAGAGAAATGACACAATAGAATACAGAATAAAGAAATAATATTTATTAATTTATTCATGGACCATTTGTTCTGGAGTGAACATTAATTGTCTAGCAGGATAGGTAATATTTGTATCTACGGAGCTTATGGTAAAGATGACAGGCAATGAGAAGTCCTGCACCTTAGGCCAAAATCCGATGGTATGAACAAAGGGTGTGTGTGTGAGTCACCTGCGGTGGATAAGATAGGTTGTAGCCATGGTGGCCAGGATAAGTTATCAGATGAGTTCCTAGATGAGTTAGGAGATGATCCCATTTGTTAGCTATAATGGATTATATATAGATGAAATGCACTAGGAGGTTGTGCCCCTAGTGGATAGTTTGCAGGTGACTTAATTAATGATTTGATGCAATGCTTAATGAGTGGTTATTGGTAGTGGATGAAAGTTAAGAGAGAGTGGTGGAATGAGATGCTCCATGTAGTGAGGATAGGGAGTGGGCACCACAGAAGTGGTCCGTAACACCATTGAAATTCTCACGTTACCTAAGTGGCTAAGTCTTTAGGTTCCTTTTTTTAATCAACATAGTTACACACACACAATATATATTATGCTTTATATTTATATATATATATATATAGAGAGAGAGAGAGAGAGGGGTAGGATCCTTTGACACCAGTGTCAAATTTGAAATTTGACACCTCATCTGAGAGTCGTTAGATCAAAAAATATCAACGGCTCTGATTTGTAAGCATGTGACACCATTGATCTTTTTTGATCTAACGGCTCTCAGATGAGGTGTCAAACTTCAAATTTGACACTGGTGTCAAAGGATCCTGCCTCATATATATATACATATATATATATATATGTATATATATATATATATATATATAAAGCATAAAGCATTTAAGATAAAATTATTTTTTGCAATCCTAAAACGATATAGTTTTGGGGTTTAAAATAAAAAAAAAAGAATATTTTGAAAATTTTACTTTCATATTATAATATGCATTTTACTAAAATATCCTTTATTTTTATTTTAAATCACAAAACGAAGTCATTTTGGGTTGCACAAAATTAGGGGTGTGCATGGGTGGAATTGAATTGAATTTTTTTAAAGAACTGAACCGAATTGGTTTAAACGGTTCGGTTCGGTTTGAAAATGATTCGGTTCAGAATCGGTTCAATTTGAAACTGGTTTGGCTCGGTTCGAAAATGGTTCAGTTCTTGAACTGGTTTCTAAAAATCAGTTCGGTTCTTGAACTGGTTCTTTAAAAATCAGCTCGGTTCATGAACTGATTTTTTAAAACCAGTTATTTTAAGTGCAGTTCATTTCAGTTCACAATTCAGCTAAGATTTTTGGTTCTTTTACACACCCCTACAGAAGATAATATTATTTGTTTCCAAAAAAAAAAAGATAATATTATTTTTTGTGACAGGAGAAATGTTATATATATATATATATATATATATATATATATATATGGGTTATGTTTATCTCATTTTACATGAGATAAACAACTTTCTTACACAAACAAAAAGGGGATGGGTCCCACCACTTTTTTCTCTCTCCTCTTACCTGTAGGTCCCACTTATACTTTTATTTCTACAACATGAGGTAATTTTTTAGGCTATTTGACCATTTTGCCCCTTATTAATTAATTAATAACCATTTTGCCTCTGATTCGAAACTATCTATCAATCTGCCCCTCTTTAATCGACTACTTTGCATGTTTAATCGACTAAATGGTTGTTGGAAGATTTAATCGACTAAATCTCCCTACTTAATCGATTAAAATCATATTGACTACTCTTTTTTTTTGTCAAATATGGAGATTTAGTCGACTAAATAGGGAGATTTAGTCGACTAAATCTCCCAACAGCCATTTTTTGTCTGTTTTGGCCATTTAGTCGATTAAAAATGCAAGGTAGTCGATTAAAGAGGGGCAGATTGATAAATAGTTTCGAATCAGGGGCAAAATAGTTATTAATTAATTAATAAGGGGCAAAAGGGTGAAAAAGCCTAATTTTTTTCCTACAACATAAGAAAAAAAAAAAAAAAATATATATATATATATATATATATATATATATATATATATATATGGGGTTTACATTTCTCCAGCTGCTTTACGTGCAGCAATCAAATACTTGTCATATACTTGAAAGCATTAAATGCAAGGAATCATAACGATACAAAGGAAGAAAGCATTAAATGTGAGGAATCATAAACATACACCTGTCGTTGTTGTACGTAAAGCGGCTGCAGAAATGATTTTACATATATATATATATAGAGGTAGGATCCTTTGACATCGGTGTCAAATTTAAAATTTGACACCTCATCTTATAGCCGTTAGATAAAAAAAGATCAACGACTCTGATTTGTAAGCATGTGACTCCATTGATCTTTTTTGATCTAACGGCTATAAGATGAGATGTCAAATTTGAAATTTGACACCGGTGTGAAAGGATAGTTGTAGTTAAGTTTATCCACAGCTACCCTTTTTATTAAGTCTGACCAATAAGACATAAAAATTTCATTTTCTCTCTCTGTCACGTCAGCCGACAATGTCTGAGGAGAGAAAAAAAAATAACTGTATTGTTATAACTATGTCTTACTTGTCAGACTTAGTTAAAAAAAGGATAGCTGTAGATAATATTATTTAAAGTGGTTGTAGAAATACTTTATATATATATAGGCTTTAATGTTTCTACAGTGAGTGTAGATAAGTTATCTACATTCGTTCCCAAAACGACATCATTTAGGGTTGAAAAATTAAAAAATAATAATGAAAAAGACTATTATAATCCTGAAATAAATTATAATTACAAAAATACCTTAATTTCAGCATCAAAACAACATCGTTTTTGGCTCAATGTAGATAAGTTATCTACATTGACTGTAGAAAAAGTGAACCCATATATATATGGGAAAAATTATTCTCATGTTACATGAGATAAGTTTTTCCTCCTGCACACCTTTCGATAACTGTGCCACCTTTTTTTTTTCAGGTGATGGAGCCTACAAATTTATCTCTGTCATGAGATAACTTATCTTCTTTAACATGAGATTAATAAAACCCTATTTATATATATATATATATATATATATATATAGGAAAAATATTTCTCCGGTCACTGGAGATAAAGTTATCTCCAGTGAGCTCAAAACGACATCGTTTTGGGTTATAAGATTAAAAAATTATAATGATAAAGACTAATATAACTCTGTAATATATTATAATTACAAAAATACATTGATTTTCGTCCCAAAATGATATCATTTTGAGCTCACTGGAGATAACTTATCTCCATTCACTGGAGAAATTCTTTACCCATATATATATGTATATATGATTTAGTTTAATATGGTTGATTTTCTCTCATCATAAGTTATTAGCTTTACCAGTTTAATTACCGGTCTAAATTATTATTATTTTTAAAAAAAAGCTCACAAGTTTTACAAATTTTAAAAGATGCAAGTATAATAAATAATTTTTTATGCCAAGATGCTACTTTGTCTAATACTCTCTAATATCGTTAGATCAAAATCTTAAAAGAAAAAATAAATAGTAAAGATTGATTGAGATTCTGATCTAACATATTGGAAAATAATAAATAAGGTTGGATGATAAAAAGGTATATAGAGCGGCAAGATACATTATGCATTCATTTTACTAACTTCCGTTTTTTACTATGACAATAATAACTCATTTGACTTTATCCCCTGCAATATTCAGTTATGGCAAACGATGCTAACTGATACCTACATGTACATTATCCTCATGTCCCCACACACACAGCCACGAAGAGAAAATGAGAGAGGGTGCATGAGAGTGGAAAAATTCCAAGAGGAAGGAAATAGTAAATATTTGAAATGGCCTGCACAATGCTGGGTGCTTCAGTATGTATAATTACTGCAAGGTAGATAACAGATGAATGTATTGATTGCTTTTCAACCACCACAATATATACCATCTCCTATTAAACCCTTCCCTCTTATTTCTAAACTGTGTCAACTCTATTTTTGTTCATACAAATAAAACAACATACTCTCTTTGCCCCCCTTAGCTCTCAGACTCATATTCAGCAAGCCCCTTAACACACATTTTGATGGCTAAGTTTGGATTATATCCATTCTTGGTGCTTTTCATGGTGCTGTGTGCAGTAGTCACAGCCCAAAATGCAACTGGGAGAGAAGTGGTGCCTGCCATGTTCATATTTGGTGACTCTCTTATTGACAATGGCAACAACAACGACCTTCCTTCCTTTGCTAAGGCCAACTATTTCCCATATGGCATTGACTTCAATGGAGGCCCTACTGGTCGCTTCTCAAATGGCTTCACCATGGTTGATGAAATAGGTATCCCCCTTTCACTCTCCTTTATCATTTGTTTTTGTTTTTCTTAGTTCTAATCCCATTACTATGGGGTTTTTTTGTGTGTTTCAAATGGATGCAAATGTAGGCTTGACATGCATACCTTGTTGGAAGGAAAATTGTAAAGTAACATTATTCTAGTATATAAATTAAGGGAAATATAGCTCTCATAGCTCTCATGAGAAGTTTTTTTCTCCAGCAACGAATTAACACTATGTACTACGGGTAGTACATAGTTATAAATTTAAAAGCTATTTTTTTTTCCTCTCCTTAACTATGTGGAAAGAGAAAAATCAACTTTAATATTATAATTATGTACGACTCATAGTATATAGTGTTAATTCGTTGCACGAGAGAAGTTTATGAGAAGTTGGGGACCCTTAAATTAACTAGTTAATTACAAAATCCAGATTCCGCGCTTAAGGAGTGAATGTCTGGACATATTTCGAAGTATAGTAGTTGAAAGGTTCATTTTCTTTTAGCAAATTTCTTTTTGGATCAAAAATTTCTTTTGAGGACATGTTGTCATTTTTACCACTTCTCCGTGTATTTCTAACACATGAAGCCTACCAAGGCTACCATCAATAAGGTAAAGAACTGCTACACCTAACAGCTTAACTCTTAATTACATGCTATTTTCTGAATTAATTGTTTACTATAAATTGCTCTTTTCTGCTTCAATAGCTTTGCTTCATATATGTTTAATTGATGAATGTGGCAAAAAGTGTAGATAAATTTCTGTCATGGCATTTTCTTGCAGTAAATGGCGCATTAAAAGAGGATATGGGGTCCCCGTCTCCCTGCATTTTTTAGCTACACAGCACTTGACCAAAGAAATATTTGTGTAAACTCCCTCTAGCAAAGTTAGGTAGATTAAACCAATCAACAACAAACACATTCTTGCTATATATCTAACAATTATATAAACCTTTGTAAAGCATTTAGCTGCATGTTGGCAGTTACTAAGTAAAGTGTGTAACGTTCAAATGCTTTCTCAAAATAATGTCACAAAGATTATTCATGTTAATTACAAACTTCCATTGTGAGCGAGTTTTCAGTGTGCCGTAAAATTTACCTTAACATTATTTCTTTGATGTTTTCTCTCTTCTTCCTAATAATTTTTAACAAGTTAAAAGTCCCCTGCCTTGAATTATTCATCATTTCCCCTGAACTGAAACTGATGAGTGCATATAAATGCAGCTAAATTGCTTGGACTTCCCTTAATTCCTGCATATTCAGAAGCATCAGGGGACCAAGTGCTACATGGAGTAAACTACGCTTCAGCTGCTGCTGGAATCCTTGATGCCACTGGCGGAAACTTTGTGTGTAACATCCATTTTTATTTTAGAATTTAACTTGTACATTAATTTAAGCATCTATAAATTGTCTTTGTATGCTTAGTTTATTAGTTTATGTTAGAGATATATAAAAAACCATGTAGCCTCACCCACCAGTTTAATCTTTTTGGTTGAATTGGTTCTTTACATGATATTAGCGCCTTGGTGTCACGGGTTCAATCCTCACTGCCCCCGCTTTCTCTTGTGAAATTTCTTAGCACAGGTAAGTGGACATGTGCATTATCCATCTTTCATGCCCAGCAAGCTCTCATGTGAAGGGGGCGTGTTAGAGATATATAAAAAACTATTAATATTGCCTCACCTACCAGTTTAAGCTTTTGGGTTAAATTGGTTCTTTACAATTTATTATTTGAAGGTCAGCCTTGAAACAGCAGTAAGGTTGTTTCTTGTGACCGGAAGGTCACAAGTTCAAGTGTAGGAACAGTCTCTTTGCAAAAATGTTAGGGTAGGCTCGTACAATCAACCATCACCCCTAGTTTCCCAAGCCAAGGAGTCTTGTAATGAAGACTGCATATAATGGGTTTGCCCTTTTTTATGTTTAGTTTATTACTTACGAGGAAAACATTTAGTTTCCCTTTTCTATTCTGAAGAAACATCAAAATCCCAATTTATCAATTGGTTTCTATTTCCAACCCATTGATTAATATACAAATGGTTCTCTTTTGAGCAGGTTGGCCGCATACCTTTTAATGAGCAAATTAGGAACTTTGAGAGCACATTGAATCAAATTACTAGCAATCTTGGTGCAGACTACATGGCCACAGCGCTTGCACGTTGCATATTCTTTGTAGGTATGGGCAGCAATGACTACCTAAACAACTACCTTATGCCTAATTACCCCACAAGAGATCAGTACAATCAACAGCAGTATGCTGATCTCTTGGCTCAAGCATATAACCGGCAGCTCACTGTAAGAATTCTTAGTTTCTCCTACCTCACTCTAAAAGAAACCAATGAAGTCCTTGGTGGTTGTTAATCATCTCTTCCCATAAGATGTCCAATGTTTTTATGTATTATCTTCCAAAGTGGCTTCTTTAGGAGGCCTACAACTATTTTGTCCATTAATTAGGTAAGGGCTGTCTGATCAAATACGAACTATACAATTTTTTTTGGGTTTCTAATTCGGTTTAAACTGATTCTACTGTTAGACTCATATTGGGGGCGGCTCTCCCAAAACCATTTTCTCTATTCTTAGAACTTGAACTCGAGACCTTACATCTGGATAAAGGAAACAAGCTTCTTGCCACTTGAACCAATGATTGTTGGTAAACTATACAATTTTTTTGGGGTATGAGTTGCCCTTCTGCCCCAATTCTGTGTCATGCTCATGGGCTTTAGCAAAACCTAAAAGTCTAAGGCTTTGTTTGATTGTATTCTTTTTCTTTTGTTCTTAAATTAATTTTGTAAAATAGTTATGAAAATAAGTGTTTTATGTGTTTCTCTTGTTTTGAAAGTTGAAATTCAAAACATAAAACAAAATCAACTCCGACATGTTCTCTAAATTTGATTCTAAAAACAAACAAAAAATTACAGCTTTTAAATTTTTTATTACAAAACATGTCTTATCAAACGGATTTTTTTTTTTTTCTGAAAATCAAAAAAATGTTTTTAGTAGCAGTATTCAAGCAGGGCCTAACACTCTAAAATTACATTTTTGTCAAGCTTAACTTTCAAGGGAAAAGTTATTGATTCATGATATGTTACAGAGGCTTTACAATCTTGGAGCAAGGAAATTTGTGATTACTGGACTGGGGCTAATGGGATGTATTCCAAGCATATGTGCACAAAGCTTGACTGGAAACTGCTCTGAAGAAGTGAACTTGCTAGTGCAACCCTTTAATGCAAATGTGAGGACCATGTTGAACAATTTCAATACTAATCTACCTGGTTCCAGATTCATATTCATTGATACTGCCCGCATGTTCCGGAACATCCTTCTCAATGCTAGATCTTATGGTATGAATCAAAATATACTATTGCCAGCTCAAAATAACACAAATCAAACTGAGTGTTACACTATTGGCAAAAAGAAGTATCCCTTAAAAGAACACAAGCTTGTGTCCTTTTACGTGATTTACACAAAGTCTGACCCCAGTCAAACTTTGTGTAAGTCACTAAAATGACACAACTTGTGTCCTTTTAAAGGACATCCACTTAACCCTAGATTGTTTTGCTTTTTTGGTTTAGCTCTCTGGTATGCACATTTTCAATGTCACTAACGATGGGAGGACTTATAGTTTTTATTTTATTTTTTCTAATGCAGGGTTTACTGTTGTAAATAGAGGGTGCTGTGGCATTGGAAGAAACGGAGGCCAAATTACATGTCTTCCGTTCCAAACACCATGTCCTGATAGAAACCAGTACGTGTTTTGGGATGCATACCACCCAACAGAAGCAGTGAACGTTCTGCTGGGAAGAACGGCTTTTAATGGGAACCCAGATTTTATTTATCCTATAAACATAAAACAACTTGCTGAACTATAAAATGAGCATGCTATATCGGAATCTTGCTTTGTCAGTGTCACCTTTAGGCTTTAGATTCAATGATCAGTTTAGATTTAGTGAGAGTTTGTGGGGCATAAAGTCATAGAACGGTTGTGGTGTACTGCTAACTACGTTTACAATTACAAATGTCACATGAATTTAGTGGTGTTATTTTCTTTTCTTTTTTTCTTTCTTTTGCTTATAACCTAATTGGACGAAGCTAATATCTTATAGACATTTTAACCAGATTTATCCTTGTTGATACCAGGAATAGAATTGAAAATAATGGACTTTGTTAAAAATATTCCGTAATTTTAAACTCATAGTAATTAAATATGCTGTAAAATAAACATAAGCTACATATCTATTTTGGTTTGAACTACGCAAACTATTTTCTAGCTAGACATTAATTTTAATTGTAATCATCAGTTACTATTTTCTGTTGAGTTTAATTAAGTAAAAAGCTTAATTAAAAGAATTAAAGTCACTTTTAGACAAAATTACAATTAGTAAAAAAAATTGGAATAAAAATGTATGTAGACAAAATTACCCGGAACTTAAAAGTAAATTGATAAATATTACTGTAACAATATTCTAAACCTATAGGATAAGTTCAAAAGAGAGTTAAGATAACGAGATAGATAAATTTTTACCCAATTAAAAATATTAAATAGCCAAATAAGGTAACTTGATCTTCTCTTTCTCATTTTTTCTCTTCTTCTTCGTTGCTCCAAGAGAAGTTGTCTACCATTGTTGAGAAGCAAGAAAATCTAACTTCTTCATCTCTCAACCAAATCACTTGGTTCTTGAACCAATATTGCTTAAAATTTCAAGCCAAACACAATCTCTAATCCATAATCTATCAAAAAGCCTTGTATTGAGAGAAAAAGAGAGGGGAAAATGGCGACCCACTTAAGATTGGTGGACTTGGAGAGTGATTTGATCCATTTGGAGGCTTGCAATCCATTCCTTACATGATTCTAGGTGAGTTCATATTAAGATACAAGCATTTCCATGAGTTTTATGAGGATGGCTATGTTATGGTTCCATTTCATGAATATGCATGTATGTTGTGGTAGTCTAGAGGTTGATTGAGGCTTAAGCCCTTTGGAAAAGTTGTTTAGAAGATGATTTAATCGATAGAAATGAATTTAGATAATCATTTGGGCTTACTATGATATTTTCAAAAATATATGCTTGGATTTGTGAGTTTTCTTGCATTCCAAGCAATTGATTGATTGTGTCCATGTGGTTGCTAGGATTGAGGCAAGTGGATGTTCATTGAGTGATCAAGCATTGGAGGAAGCAATGAGACTTGATTAATCCGTTGAATTGGTAAGTTCCTCACCTTGAGTGTGGTGTTGGATTGCTTTGATTGTTGATGAATACTGATATATTTATGGATGCAATTGATTGATTTCTTGGCACCTTTGTGTAGGTGTTTATGTGGTAAGATTGTAGCTTGAATATAAAGTTTGGTTGTTTGCAAACTTGCTGGTGAACAAAGGTTGGATTGGAAGCAATTGTGGTAAGCCTTCGGACCTTGGGATTTATCCCTTTATTGTTCCACCAAACCCTGATGAGGTAGTGGTTATTGTTGGTGTATGTAATTGCAATTTAGTAGTTTAATGCATTGATATATGTATGTGTATGCACTGGGTGTGGCATACGATGGTGTTTCCCTATGTTTGTATATTGCATGACGATGTGTAATTCATACTTGATAGTTTAGCTGGTCAGTAGGACTATTTGCATCTGAGAATCCTTAGGACAGCAAGGGTGCTAGAGGGATGTCTTATAGAGATGTTTTACACACTGCATGGATATGTATATGTTGAATTATTTACTATTATTCCTCTTACACTGTAAGTGAACTCTGGGGTGGAGAGATCCTCCAAAGATCCCTGGTTTACTGAGATGATTATTCTCACCCCACGTTGCGGGCCCCCTCTTTCAGGTAATGATGGTGCAGGAGCCTCTGTTGGTAGGAAGCCACAATAAATATTGATTGATGCATGTTGCTGCTGTTGTTATTTTGGAATGCAGTGATGTATATGAGATATTGAGATAATTGATGTAATCTGATAATTATGTTATTACTCATTATAGACTTATACAAGGATTTATATAAGAGATAAATTAATGAATATGGTGGGATGTGAGTGCCACAATGTTTGTTGGGCATGTGGTAGTCATTTAAGTCTATTAGGAATCAAGGAAATTGGAGAAATGAGATTTGACATCCCTAGTTCATTAATGTTGCAGTTTAAACTTGTTTCTGTCTAATAGAGGGCGCTAAAGCACCCTAATAGGAGCCAAAGTGCACTAAGTGGCTTAAAAATATCATTTGGCCCTGCCAGGGCGTGCTAAAGCGCGTTGGAGCACGCTAAAGGAAGAAAAATGTGTTCGAAGAGCGAGATAAAGCGCTCTGCCCGGAATCAACATGAACATAGATTAGAAAAATTGGCATAACTCGAGCTATAAATCTCCAAATTGAGTGAAGTTTGAACCTATTTAAAGCTAACACATAAGTCTATAACCTTGTAAAATATTAGAGCCATTAGATGAGTATATAAGTACCAGTTTAGGATTGACGTTGATGCTACAATTCTAGAGATTCGGTTCTGTTAGTTACCTTGCAAATTTAATAACTCTGGCTATACTTAACCAAATAGTTAATGCTATACCTTTTTGGAAAGCCTCATATATCTAGTTTAACATAGTAAAAGTTCATAATTTATGGTGAGGTATTAAGGTCCCAGTGTAAGGAAACATAGGGGCTATTCAGCATCAGTAAAACTAAAAGAAATGTTTAATACATTGTTTTAGTCTACGGAGGCTTCATGGTGAACGGTTTAGAGTTTGTTTTTACACCTTGGGTTTATAGTATTGCCTATAAGGGGTTGTAAACTAAAATAAATAACGCTTCAAAATGACGTAAGGTTTACAATTATAGTAATGGTAGAATTGAATACAAAATTAATGATTTGCAGTAAACGTAAAAAGGAAAAAGTTTATTCGTAATTCCAATCAATTATTGGATTCTAATGCGCTTAATATCATTTGTGATGATAACAAACCGGTCTAGAACGAGGCGTTACAGAAGTAATGCCATAGAATTCTACACGGTTGATGCCTAATCTAATGGTGAGGGGTTTGGATAGATTGTATCAAGTTATGTGTTCAATTCTCACTTGTTTAAAAAAATAAAAGTAGAAGTATTTTTCGGAAGGATATTTGTGGTACCTGCTAGCTATAATATTTACCTGAATTAGTGATGTAATTTCTGAGCTACTAAGTTGTTAATGGTTCAAATGCAGGTAAAAAAGGCCCAAAAGTGAATGAAACAGGCACACTAAAGCGTTTGGGCTAATAATGGCATACTTATAATTTCTTTTATATTTTTCTCTGCCATGTGATAACAGGGAAGCAAAAATAGTGAGAAATGGCTGAAGTGGCTAATTGATAAGAGTTTGATTTATAATTTAGTTGACGAACTTGTAGTTCAAAGAGCCATGGGAATGGTCTTGAACACTTCTTTGCATGAATTTTCAATTAGGAAATTAAAGTTTTGTGATTTTGTTAATTGAAACCTCCAAGATTAGGGATAATCTCGAGTGAGAATTGAGTATACGTCGTAAATGAATTAGATTCGAGATTAGGGGACTAATTTGAGTCATTTCATTTGTGGGTTTGGGAAAATTCAGTTAAGTGCTACTATAAATGCAAGAATGCAAAATTCAAGGGAAAGTTATGAAATTCATTATTCTAGTTTGTGATAATTGAATCTTAAATGTTTTGTATGTGACTAGAGTAATTTATTTGATAACAAATTAATTTACAATTTAGTCGATGAACATGTAGTTTGAAAATTAAATACTTTGCAAGTCAAGAAATAGAGATAGAATATTGTTCTGGCAGACCCAAAGCATCATCAACCCAATAGGACACAGGTCCAGTCCTGAAGGCACAAGCCACTTCAGCCCTAAATCCACTGCAGGTACCACTGTCAAACCTGCAAAGCTAACTAGTTTCCCAACTTAAGACACCAAAATGTCTTACGTTGGGAGACTCCCTCCCCCTTTGTGTCTCCACAGGCACCTAATATATCATTCCCTTGACTTTATCCCTGCATGGTATCTACTGTCAGCATTGTAGCGGTTGCAAGAGGCCCTGCTATCCTTCCTCCCCACAACAGTTGACTTGGCACATCCCCACCAAGTGGAGACCTATATATACCCCTTCCTCACCACTCTAGGGGCAGATTTATATGAGTCATTACTCTGTCAAGATAGAAAGCCACAATAGTCTTTGCATGTCCCCCTTCCCCCATTATATATTCATTGTATTGGAACTGTCCTGTATAATGCTGGTCTTTACCATTGTTGCATTGGGTACACAGTAACCATATCACCCATGTGATGTCACATATTGGACTTTCTAATAAGCCCACGATTCAAATATAAAAGAATCTAAAAAAAATGTTTCTTGATAACGATCTTGATCTTCGTTCAACAGTTACAATCAATTGTGTACCAAAGGATAAAAATAAGAGAGAATTAATAACATGTTACACCTTAAACCTGTTAGCACCAAATTATATATATTAATATTATATTATTTTATGTTATTTAAGTACCTTTGGGCTGTTTAATTAGTGTTGTTGCAGGTAAATTAGGCCCAAATGAGTTAACTAAAGGCCCAAGAAAAAAATGAAGGTAAAAAGTAAAAAGAGTAGAATTTGGCTTATTTCCTTACAAGTTTTACTTTCATTTTTAATTTCAGCTGAGAAGAAAAGAATGAAAAGGCACGTGGACCAGCTTTATGAAGTGAACACATTTTAACCATTGGATGACAAGGAGATAGACGGCTCTTAGCGTGTAGAATTTTTAGCTTTAGTTCCTTTTGTGGTTTGTAAAAAAATAGGATAGATATCAGATTTTTAGAAGTAGAGCCAGAGACTTAGAGAATTTTCGATCTTCGTATTTTTCCTTGTTTTTGAAAGACGTTGTGTGTATTCTTCACTCCTTGAAAATCTTGAAGATCCAGAACCTCAAGCTCTGACAACGCTGGAAGCAAGGATCGAAGGAGGTGCTTGCAAGTGGAGAAAGATCCTGCTCTAGTTTAGGATCGGTATTATGTTGAACAATTTTTCTGATTTTTTCTTTTAATGCATGTTTCTGTTTTTCTTTCATCTTTGATTTTCTTTTTCTGAATATGGGTTTCTAATTTCTTTATTTTCTGGGTATGTTAATAATGATTGGATGAATTTTTGATGTTCTTTGTTACTATTTTTTATCTCATTCGTTTGATGCTTCACTTTTCAACTCAAGAAATTCATGGGAATGGAACTTGAGTTTTTCAACAAAAATAAATTGGAAAATGCATTTTTGTTAAGTGTTAAATGAACCCTTTTGGATTAGGGATAATCAAAGGTGATTTCTGATATAATTCTCTTTAAAGATTCAAGAAGCTTTGGGAAAATATCTTCTTGAGCCTTAATGTTGATTCTGGAAAGTTTCAATTAAACTTGCCGTAGCAACTCAGAAAATGAGATAAACTCGCTGTAGCACTGTACGAATTTGCAGGAATTCAAATATTTTTGTCATCCATGATTTTTTGATATACTCAGAAGCTTTTAAACATTGATAAACATTTCTTTACTTTTTTTTAAATCAGAATTTAATAATTGATAAAGACTACAAAACTTTCTTGTTCTAAAAAAACCAAAATTTAATTTCAATTTCAGAATTTTTAATTCAGAAAAAATAAATAGAAAATACTTCATATCGTTCCCTGAGAACGATAACTCTTTCTTTCGAAAATTACACCAACAAAATGAGTGCCGTTGCCGGGGAACGGTGTTTGATATTATTTTCTTTTTGTGATTCTGTTTTAGACTTCTTGATATTTTTTTATTTTTTTTTTCTTTCTTTTTCCTTTTTACATATTTTTCTTGTTATCTACTGACTCCAATTTCAAGTTCTTGTGAGATTTCTGCAGAATTCAATTTTGATTACAGTAACAAGCAGTATTACACAATTGTTGCCGAATTATTGAAGATGGCAGAATCGAACCATGGATATGTTAATGGAGAAAACATCAATGGCAATGGGAATGGCAACCATGCTCTAGTTATTGTGGATGAAGAGCTTCCCATTGCTGAATATGCTATTCCATCACTTGATGGAGTAATTCCTGGTATAGTCCAGCCTGGAGTGGAGGGGAATTTTGATCTCAAACCGGGGATGATACAGATGCTGCAATCCATGACTCAATACCATGGATTACCCAAGGAAGATCCCCACAAGCATATTACAAAATTTATGAAAATTTCCGATACATTTTCTGTTCATGGAGTGTCCACATATGCCATGAGAATGAGGCTATTTCCCTTCTCTTTAGCTGGGGCAGCAGAAGAATGGGTAGAAGATTTGCCTGCACAGTCCATCACCACGTGGAAGGAGCTTCGAGAAGCCTTCCTTATGCGGTTTTTCCCACCCACAAAGGTGTGTGATTTGAGGGATGACATCACTGGGTTTAGACAGTATGTTGATGAGTCAATCCATGAGAGCTGGACTAGATTTAAGGGGCTGATTAAAAAGTGTCCTACCCATGGTCTTCCTAAATGGGCTACCATTCAGATTTTCTATAGAGGATTGAGTCACCAAGGAAAAACTCACTTGGATGCTACTGCCAATGGAATGTTTTTATTGAAAAGGTATCCAGAGGCTTTTGAGACACTTGAGAGAATAAGCCAAAACAGCTGCCAATGGCCTGAACAAAGAGATGAAGCTCCAAAGAAGGCAGCTGGACTTTATGAAGTGACTGAAATAACTTCCATGGCAGCTGAGATGGCAGCAATGCATAACACAGCGTCTTTTGCAGCCAAGTTAGCATCTAAAAATAGATGGAATGATAACCTCATCTAAAAAATAGTTTGAACCTTAGCATAACAGCCAAGTTAGCATAAAAACCTAACAAATTCTATGGAGTTTGTTCTCCTATAATGATCCATGGAATAGAACTGAAAATAGTAGCCAAGGGAAACTGCACATTGTTGCTTTAAAATATTTGGTAATTTTTTTATAAATGAAAAAAATGACCCTCCCATTATGCAAGTTCAGGGAATAATAACATAGTAAGTTTCCTATATATTTTAGTTTAAACTATACAAAGTAATTTTTTGACTAAACGTTAATTCAATTGCAATTGAGAAGGGAAGAAGATGGCAAAATAAAATAAAATTGAAGACTGATTATACATGGTTATAGTGCTAGAATGATTGTGTTTGACTCAAACTCAAAAGATAGCACGTTAAAAAAGGAATCGCACAATTATTGTAAAGGATACTTAACCCATACATCTAGCAGATGTGGAATATCTTAACACACTTCTCATACAGAATAAATTAATGCATCAGTATAAACACCTCCCTCATGCTCAGTACATGTTATGTGGAATACATGTTTCACAAGAGGCACACCTGATGTAATTAAATCATGAAGTTCAGAAGAGGCACACCTCTCTTATGTAGTTAAAGCATGAAGTTCACAATAGGCTTTAGAAAATTTGCTGGTAGCCTAAAAAAAGCGTGGGTAAGCTCTTATACCATGTTAGAATGATTAGGCCTAACTCAACCCCAAAGCTCATGAGGGAAGGATTGTAATATTGTTATGAGGGTACTTAGCCCATATATTTAGCATATGAGATATATCTTAACATGTCAGAAGAATCCAACTCTCCTATAAACTTAAGTTGGACACATGAATAGTTTTATTATACTTCAACCATGTCCCCTAACGCAAGCTCCCTTCAAATTTGAGTTGTGAATAATGAATGAATAAACTCATGTATCTGGTGCTGAAGTTCAAATTTTTTCAATAAAAGAATGGAGACCAACTTGTGACTTAACCACTCAATCATCTTTATTAATTTTGTAATTGTTCCTACACAATGGGATCATAGGTGTACAAAGGAAATCAAATGACTTAAGCAACAAGAGCATATTCTTACTAGACAAGATCATGAATATTATGATCAATCAACAAATTGCACTGCATAAACACCACACAAACACACAAAATTAAGCATATAGCTCAACTTCTTTTTACAGCATTGCCAATTGTTGAATATTAATGGGAGAAGTATATGATTGCGAACTGTACGTAGCCTTAGCCAGTAAGATATTAGCCAACTCAGTGGGGTGGAAAGCATCCCAGAACAAGTACTTGCCACGATCTTGACATGGTTGTTGCAGAGGAAGGCAAGTAATTTGCCCATTGTTCCTGCCAACCCCACAGCATCCCTTGTCTATAACATCAAAACCTGTGTGATATCATATATATACAAAGTCCAAAATCAGCTTTAGTGAACCTGTGTTTTATCATTATTAAAAGGCTTGTCTAAGCTAAAGAGAATTACCAGATGAGGTTCCATTTGAAGATAAATCTTGGCTGCTTTGATAAGAATCAACAAATACAAACTTTGCTCCTGGAAGCTGCCCTCCATTGAAATTCTGAACCATTCTCTTAAGACCTGAGTTAAATAACAAGATGGCATCGTTGATTTTCTCATTGCATCTGTTGTTACCATGTATACGGGCTAGTTGATATGGTATGCAGCCAATTTGACCAACTGCTGTAACGATCACTTTTCGTGCTCCTAGTGAATATAATTGCTGCACAATTTTAAGTGAACAAATCAATATAATCTATCGAAAGGAAATGCAAAAAAAAAAAAAATTGAGTCATTCTTAATAAGATTAAGAATACAAAGCAATTAGCCAAAGTAGAATAATTGAACTAAGGAATAATAAGAGAAAACCACATACCCCAATGTTAACGCTAGTTATCATGGAAGTTATTTTGCATGTGTCTGCGTGTGTAACTTAAACAACTTTATAAATTTGGGCATCCAAAAGTTCATCACATTTTGTCAAAGTAATTGGTTCTGATCTACATTAGCTCAAATTACATGTTCAATCAATCGGCCACCCCATTATCTTGCCCCTATATTATGTTCATAGGAATGAAATTGTTTGATTTTATAATAAAGGTAAAACCTCTCAATAAATAAAATATTAAACCCTACATGTACATACTTCTGAAACCTTACCTTTTTTTTTTTTTTTTTGCCATTGTGCATATACACCATCCCCGTTAACTCCAAGCCTTCTTTTATATGTACAGTGATTTGTTAACCCTTCTTTTTCTGTGCACATTGATTTGTCAACTCTTTCGGTTGTCTCTTTTATAGAAGAAGATTTTTTGTGGGACGGGACCATGGTAGTCCCTCCCAAAAATAGAAAAAAAGGAGAGACGGAGAAGGAAAAAATTAAAAAGAAAAGGGTAAAAATGAAAGAAAAATTTCCATTTATATAAAAGAGACCACTGAATAAATGGTGGGTCTGGAGCATGTTAAATTTTTTCCTTTCATAGACCACGCTAACTTACAGATCTCACATTTGTCACGATCCACTCAAATCGAACAAAAATTATTGTCCACATGACACTGTGCAAGCTATATGTTGAGAGTAGTTAAGAATCAGATGTTAATAACTTACAGCTAACTGGCGAGCATAATCTTGAAGAAGGATGGATGCAAAAGCTGTTGTAGTATAATTTGAGCTAGTTGAATAAAAGTCTGGCATAAAATAGTTATTCAGGTAATCATTGCTTCCCATCCCTGAATAGAATATACATTGTTTTAGGTAGCTATTAAGCGCATCATTGTCTCCTCTGAAGAAACTCCTCAACTGCTGCACTGTGTATCCAAAGTTAGCCACTTGCCCATTCATTGATGTATGAGCCCCCTGCATATGGTTACATAGGAAAATCAGAGTAGGTGGACCAGGATATATTGAGACTCACATAAAGATATGTTATAGGGTGTGTATGGTTCAGTTCGGTTGAATCAAACTGAAAAAAGTGGTTTGATTCGGGCAAACCGAACTGGTTTAAAAAGTGATTCGGTTTTTGAACCAGTTCACAGAAAATGATCTGGTTCTAAAATTGATTTGGAAAAATGTGGCGCGATTTGATTGGATATTTGGATTCTCGATTTTGTTCGATTTATTTAATTTATCCACATTTCTAAAAGTGAGTATGGTTTGATTCGATTCGGTTTTTATCTTGAATCAAACCAAATTGGTAAAGTGGTTGGATTCTTGGACCAAACCGATTTTAAAAAAATGATTCGGTTTTTAAACTTATTCAAAAAAAATGGTTCGATTCTTGAACCAGTTCAATAACTTTTTAATGCGATTTGGATTAGTCCACAACTGAGTTTGTTTTATTTGATTTTTTTCCAATACCCCTAATATGTTTTATGAAAGGACTATAAATATAAGCAATTGCATACCAGGTTACTGCCTGTTTCATCTCTGATGCCTGCTGCTCCAGATGCATAATTGGCTCCTCTTAATAGTGCCAAACCCCTAGTTCTTGAATAAGGAGGAATATAAGTTGGAAAACCCATAAGCTGAGCTGCAATAATCAATTGTTAATAAGAACTCAGCATGTTACTGCTATTTGTTAGGGTAAGCATATAATTTACTTTAACTACTATTAAAATTCCCAAAAAAAAAAACTAGATTTTTAAGCTATGCAACATAAAAAGTGGAAATATTATAACTTGAATAACAACAACATATCACTAATTAATCACGTGTTATTATTCTATAGTTTTCTACATGATTATTAAATATTGTTGACTAGCTTAATTAAGAAAGCAATGAAGGTATTGAATTATTACCTAATGCATCAACATAAGTGCGACCATTGGTGAATCTGCCAGTGGCACCTTGTGGGAAGTCAATGCCATAAGGCCTGTAATTAGCCCTGGCAAGGGTTAGTATCCCATTGTTGTTTCCATTATCAACCAATGAGTCACCAAATATGAAGAAACATGGTACTTGTTGCCCCGGCAGTGGTCTTGGCTGAATCTGGGACAAGCAACTGGCACTTAGGCCCAACCAGATACATGTGAATGTCAAAACCACATCTCTAAAATGCTTCATCTTAATTTGACTGATTTTTAAGCACAAATGTCCATAAACGGAAATGCTTCATCTTATATGGTCCTTTGAGATAGTTGTATATATGATCATATTTATGACATTCATGAGATAAGTAAGTATTTTTTGATAATTGGTTGGGCAAGTATGATAACGGGAAAAGAAGCTTTTTGGTTGGGTAATTATGGGTTCTTAACATTTAACATGAAATTTGCTTTACAATCTGTGATTGGAGGCTACATCCCGTGACCAATATCCTGGATCACATCAACATACTTATTGGAACATACTAGACTATACACCTTTCTAGAAATGGATGGGTTAAATATTGGGTGTATATATTGTACTAATTATTTCTGATTCTCTTTTTATTTAGTAGATTATTTTCGCTTATTATTGGATAGATTGTTCCTCATTGTTTTCTTATTTTAAGCATTTAAATTAAGAAAATGATTATTAAGATTTGTGCTCACTCGGCTTTGAAATACCCGCACATTACAAAAATTTAGTCGCGAATATGTTGAGTATATATTAACACAACTCTTTAAAAAATGAAGATTATTTTTTTAAAAACCGGTTTATGTTTTAAAATCAATTCATGATTTATAATCGGTTCAAAACATGTTTGGATATGCGAGCCGGTTCTAAACCAGTTTTTCAAAAATAAGTTCTTTTGGTTAGGTTCAATTTTTAAACTAGTTTATAAAATCAATTTGATTCCCAAAACTGATTTAGAAAAATGTAGTTGTGTTCCATTATTTAGTAAAACCCTAAAGAGGGGCATTCTAAACATAAGAACCCGTTTGAATGGCTTTTTTTTCTTCAGAAACTGCCTTTTTTCAAGGAAAAAAACACTTATTATTACAAGTTCGTTTGGATATCAGCTTTAAGAAAAAAAAAAGTAGAAGTTACAGAAAAAGTTAAAAATCTATTCTCTTTTTTAAGCTAAAAATTTTAGCTTTTAAAAAAAGTAGAAGTCAAAAGTCAAATATTTTTTTTTTCAAAAACTAAATAATTTTTTTAAAAATCTAAATATTTTTAATTTTTGTAAAAACCACTTCTAAAATAAATAAAATATAAAAGTTGCTTTTTTTTAAAAAGGCTAAATAAACGGGCTACATAGAAGATATGGAGAATCACTTTCATCCAAATTGTTTTGTACCACTGCCTAAGCAATTTTTAAGCCAAGGTAGTGCCTATTCCAAGATTCTTCGTGAAAGCCAGAACCCAATTGCCCAAGCCCCAAGCTATTTCTCAAAACTACACCATAATATTTATTTCATGCAAACCTATAGTGGAAATGACCACTTAATACAACATTCCTTATAAGAAATTCTCGTTAGTCCACTCCATTGAACCTGCCCCGTGCCCTCGTTGATATTCCTGACAAACAAGGGATACCAATTACCAAATAAACGACTCCATTTTAGTGTTGATCAACATTTTTACCTCAGGTTTATTACAATACAACGTTTCTATAGGTAGGAGATACCTAGCTACTAATTAGTCCAAAATTGGTTAGATTCCAATTATTTTGTTTTATTGTTAAGCTTCCATTAGTAACTCATTTACTGAGTCATCCCTCTTAAGCTTTATTAAGTAGAGCACGTATAAAACTTTCTAATTTGACCAATTACTCACTCACTTCTCTACTTTCCCCACACTCTCTCCCCCTCTTCTCTTTCTCCCGTTTTCTCTTCTATTCGTTAGCTGCTTCGTTACATGCATGGCTTCTACCTTGAACCATAATACTTCCAAGCTAATTTTGAAAAACTTTAGTTTCAATTTGAAATTTTCTGCATAAGTTTTAGTTTTGTTATATATATATATATATATATATATATATAACAAAACTAAAACTTACGCAGAAAGCATTTCAAACAATTTTTGAGATTATAATCTAGTAGTCTTAAAACATGCTACTTCTTTTGCCACGGTAATATTCTAGTTTCAGCTTAAAATCTTGAGGTTTAAACGACACGGTTTTTTGGTAAATAGGTTTTAAAGAAATTGATTAATACAAAAGTGAAAAGATCCACTAGTCAACAGGTTTAATTTGATTAATGCAAAAATCCACTGCAAAACAAACCTCACTCAAGCGCATAAAGAATTTCTCAAGCGACCAGATATATCCATAAAGACTAGTAAATAATCTATTAACAGACTTTCCATCATAACTTTCTTACTACTCCCACCCTTAATAGAACAGTTTCTGTACTAAACCCAACAACTCAGCTTACAGGTTAAACAGTGCAAAAGATAATCCTTGCTAAGAAATCTTTAAGATACAATCCAAGTGACAAACACAACTAGCCTTCATAATCACCCTGAGCAAATTTGTTCTCTGGATAAAAGACAGCCACTACTTGATTTCCATCAAATTTACGACCATTCAATCCAGCACGTGCTTTTGTAGCACCATCGACATCAACATACTCCAAAAACACCTGCAAGTACAAAATAGTTTCGTATGATCACAATTTATAGCATGTGATCACAATTTATAGCATGTGCGAAGTATTGCTACCCAAAAGCAAAGCATATCTATAAGCAATCACCCACAACTTAACAAGTTCATTTTCCATTAGTGATTTCTGACAAATCCTCAGTTCCTCAAATATACTATAATTTCAAACAACTACATCAATCCACCATCGGCAAAAAAATAAAAATAAAAACTCCATATTCATTTCTGCACAAGACAGCAAAATAAAAAAACAATAAACAAAAAAATTATGCCTGGAGAAGAAAGGTGAGACTGAATTTCCAGAAGAATGTCACTATTACAAACCTTTCCAACTCCAGCGGACTGTTCACCATCTGGTTGTGGACGAGGGATCACCACATTCACCAAAGTACCTGAGTTGTGAAAACAAAAAAAAGTTAGATATGCAAATAAATTCTCAAAAACATGCAATGGAAAAAGCATGTGTGAACAAAGATAGAAGGTTATGGAGGCTTCGATCTGTAAGTTAGGCCTGATTCGTTATGAGAGAATGTGGGACTACAAATGGCTGTAAAACAAATAAATAACACAGAAAATTAATTTGAATGTGTTATAGTTCGAAGTGAAAGATAAGCAAACTAAATGATAAATTACCAAATCTGGAGCACTCCTTTCTCATATCATCAAGAATCTCTTCATAGACCTCATCATCTTTGAGCTCATCAGCAGAAACTGCGTGAGTTAAACACACCACCTTTGTTGCCACTAATGCTGGTTGTAACATTAGTTTCTACAGAAATCAAAAGTATATAGCAATTAAAATTTTAACAATGTGCACCAAAGATTTTGGTAACAAATAAAATCTAAGATACAATCCAATCAGACCTGCAGAGCAATCTGCTGCTGTGCATGCATGAAAATGCTCTCTTGCTCAGGCTTAGGCTGCTGTGGGTTTGCACCTTGATTAGCTCGTCTAACTGTAAGAGTCTTATCTCCCATTTTTATTCCATTGAGAGCTGCACAGGCAATATCTGTAACTGCAAGATCTTGGTAAACACAAAATGCGTAACCCTTTGAGTTTCCTGTTTCTCTATCTTTAACTAGATCAAAACCTTGAAGAGGACCAAAGGTCTCTAAAAGCTCTCTGATCTGTGTTTCGGTAAAGTAATAAGGAAGTCCACCCACAAAAATCCGATCAGGACCATCAAGTCCACCAGCTGACCCAGGGGTTAAACCAACAGCGCCCAGATTAAGGTTTGGATTAGGTTGGCTTGGACCTAGGGTGGCAGCTAGAGAAGGATTATAATCAGTAGGTCTCCGGACTTTAACAGGTGCCCCCTGAATTGAAAATGAAATTCGGATAAACACCAATGGATATACTTGCATCCTCAATAAAAAAAAAAAAAAAAGGAAACCAAGCTTTAGGTTGTTAGATAAAAAGATACCTCAAAAATAATCCCATCCAAAGTCATTGCATTGCTAGCTTCCTCAACAGACCTCATCTCGACAAAGGCAAATTTCTTATCATGGTTGATGTAAACGTTTACCACTGCATCACCTGAACAAATAAAATCAAATCAATTAGGCATATTATAATGTCAGCAAACTGGCACAATTCATTTAAGATTATAATGTACCTGGACCAGCAGTGTTTCCTCCAATCTTGGCCATAACCTGACTGAAGAAAGTTGCAACTGACTGCAGTATAACAATCAGAAACAAAGATTAAAAAAGATAAAACTATCACAAATAAAACCAGCTAAAAATATTATCCAGTTTATTCTCCACTTGATTTTATGTCAGCAGAAGCTACACATTTCACAAAAATTACAAGCATCAAAAGTAAGGCACATGAAGAGCATCTAGTAACAGACTCTAAAAAGCTTTATCAAGTGGTGAAAAATGGGAAACTATTTCACAAATAGGCAATTTAGCAGATAACCAAACTACCTTAGCTATTCTCTATTGGGCTATGACAAGTGGGCCCAAGTCCAGCAATGCAAAATAGTCCATAGTAGTTAGTTAGAGGAGAGAAATGTTGTTATATAGGGTGATCTGAGGATGGCGTTTAGGCATGCATGTATTCAATACTGGTTTAGTGGGGAAATTGAGAGATCTCTAGGGAACTCTTGAGCCTAGGTAATTGGTTTGAGGGGGAGTTGAGGTTTCTTGGGGTTTATTTTCTGCATATTAGTGTATGTAAAAGAGGCACGGCCTCCATTATCTCTATAATTTCAGTGTTATTTTTCTGGTTCCATCAATTTGGTATCAGAGCATGTCCGATCTAGCGGGCGCTTCTGAGTCAGATCTGAAAAAAAAAAAAAAAAATTTGATTCCAGAATTTTATGGAGGAGAAGATGGAATTAAATCTTGGGGATGGTTGCTCGGGCTTGAACAACATTTTCAAGCAAACCAAATTCAAGAAGCTGATATGTTGAATGAGGCTGTGAAGGGATTGAGAGGTAGTGCTCTCAGCTGGTACAAACTTTGGAGTGGGATTAGTTTTCATGTAAGTTGGCAGAGCTTTGATAGAGCATTTATAGGGAGATATATACCTGAGATCTGTATAGTAGATGACGTTGGATTATCGAATAATCCAGAAAAAAAGGAGGAAAAAGAAACAGCAAACAAAATCAAAGAAACAAAAAAAAAAGGAAGAAAAAAAGAACGTAAATGCAGATGCAGGTCTAAGCACCATGGAAGAAGAAGAAGCAATCGGAGAAACAGTAGCATCAGCCAAAGAAGAAGAAAAAGAACAAAAAAAAAATCGATGAAGAAAAAACAAAAATTAAAGTGGACAAAATCGAAGCAGGAGAGGATGTCAATGACGTTGCAGAAAGAAAAAAAAGGGATGACGAAAACGAAGAGGCAGAAGAAAACGAAACAAGAAGAATTAAAAAAAAACGAAGGAAACAAAGAAAAACAGATCAGCGATGTAGAAGACAAAAAAACAGCAACAGGCGAAGAGGAAGAAGAAGAATCGTACAGATCTGGAACCAGCACAGAAGAATCGATGAAGAGGAAAGATCAGAGGTTGAAGAAGACCAAGTCAGATCTGGAATAAGGACAACGCGCGCACATATCTGGAACCAGCACAGAGACTGAGCGCGAACAGTGGCAACGATCACGAACGGTGGCAAGGACAGCGGCACAAGGAGCTCAGGCCATCGACTTTGCTGCTCACCGGAGAAGATCACTGACCAAGGAGAAAGAAAGGGAGAAGAGAAGAGAACGGATCGGAGTATCGTTGAGGCGATCAAATTACAGGTCAGGATTTGGGGTTAGCTTCCACAATAGGCTTGCACTTACTAATTGGGCTTCTGGTGAGGGAAGCTATGGGCAAGGCCCATTAATCAGCAATGGAAGACATGAGCCAACTTTTACAGGAACAAGAAACTTAATCCACTTAGGGAGGCAAAATGGGAATTTCATAAAGGAAAATAATGGGCTGTGTGGAAACCCATTTGGGGCCTCATGTGAACCAGAGAAGGCCCAATGTTTCTGAACTGCAGTTACGCGGAGGTGAATTTCAGAGGTGGACCTATGACCCGATTGATAACACGCAATCACACGGTTTTTGTTTAACATGCTTCAAGCAATGGTATCCTGGTGGAATTTAGTGGCAAAAATCCTGATCTCTCCCTTCACCTTGAGGACAAGGTGAATTTTGGAGGGGGAGTATTGTTGGGCTATGACAAGTGGGCCCAAGTCCAGCAATGCAAAATAGTCCATAGTAGTTAGTTAGAGGAGAGAAATGTTGTTATATAGGGTGATCTGAGGGTAGGGTTTAGGCATGCATGTATTCAATACTGGTTTAGTGGGGAAATTGAGAGATCTCTAGGGAACTCTTGAGCCTAGGTATTTGGTTTGAGGGGGAGTTGAGATTTCTTGGGGTTTATTTTCTGAATATTAGTGTATGTAAAAGAGGCATAGCCTCCATTATCTCTATAATTTCAGTGTTATTTTTCTGGTTCCATCATTCTCATTCAGAAAATAATAGGGAAAGATCATCCTGAGCTATTCTATATTACCTGCTCATTGGCTGTAGGAGGGAGGCCCCCTACATAAACCCGCCTAGCATGTCGTGTAGCCTGAATATTTGGTACCTCAAAGAAAGGCCAAAGTTAGGAATAACCGAATAAGTAATGCTATAAGGAAAAGGTAATCCTCATCTAACTGAAGCCTTTTTATACCTGTTGAGTCATAGCCTGAACTGGCATGACAGGGAGTGCACTAAATTGCTGCATCTTAAAAAACAAAGAAACAAAAAGAAAGGGAAATTAATAAAAACATTGAGTTGCATAACCAGAGTTGTGAATAAAGAAATGAACATACCTGATTTGTAGCCAATGGAAACATATTTTGAAAAATTCCCGGAATTGCAGGATTTGCCCCAGTGATCTGGCCTGCAAATAAAAGGTATATATCATCTCAGAACAAACTCATTATTTTCATCTTTAGGAATCCTATTATATAGGTGTCAAATGGCTCCTTTAGCTCCAACTTGCCTGAGTATAAGCATAATTTAACCTCGTATATGTTATATCAATAAGATTAAAGGAACATCGTAAACAAGCTTTAGAGATAATATTTGCAAGTCTACCAAGTAGGTAATAGTTTCCAGTTGTACACGAACAAGACCCACCATTGATTCCTCCGTGGATATAAAAGCTACAGATGTCGGCTCACGCCCATTGTCAGCACAGTGGGACTAGTAGCCCAACATTGCCTTCTTAGAACATAAGACAAGACAGAGAAAAAAACAAACAAACACCAAACACAAGACAAAAAACCAAAGCATCTTTTAGTTCCAGAATTATATCACTAAGTAAAAAAGAAAGACAAAATTACACACCATCGAAAACCAGTCTTCAAAGAGCTATATACTCAGATAGTAACTGAACATAGCTTACCAAGTTAACACCATGCAATTTGATATGAATTTTCCATACTACAACCAACAAAGAAAGAAAGCAGTTAATATTGAAAAATTCCATAATATATACATGAGTGAATGTACCTGCAACAGCAGAAGCACCAGCCAACATTGCAGAAGCAGGGGGAGCCATATCAAAACCACTAGTCCTTTTGCTGTACGTGAATTAAGTTAGTATTCCAATAATGCATGTTACTTTTCATGAAACATGTATCAATAAATAATATAAGGTAAAACTATCTGCATCTAACACAATTTCAAAACAGGATGTTTTTGAAATGTACCAATAAACAGTAAGGAAGCCTCCCGTCACCTATAATACTTGAAATAAGGATAGAGGTCACTATCATTTGGTCATACTTTCAACATAAACATTAACATTACCTGTATCCCAAATATTTGGCCATACTTTAGGTGATGTAATTATAGCATTCCCTTAAATTAAAATCATTACAGATGTATTGGAAATAAAATGGCTTTTCAATTAACTATGTAAATTATTTCTCTCTTCCACATGCATGTACAACATTATACTAGTTCCAGTTGCACATAACAACTATTTTATTTTACAAAACAGAACATAGAATTTCCCAAATGGCAATCACATCCATTATATGTTAGTGCAAATCTAGACACTGAATGTTAAGGATCTTTCCTCAACCTACCTCTTTGAGCGTGAACGAGAACGTGACCTTGATCTATGCTCAGATCGAGCCCTTGTACGTGAACTAGATCGAGACCTAGACCTGCGCTTATGCCTATCCCCTCTATCATAATCCCTTCGTCTGTACCACCAAACAATTTCAGACAAAAATTGAAAAAGAAAATGAATAGAAAACAATTTATTGAAAATAAAGACATTGCTAATGTTTTGGAAATAAGAATGTCAATTCTTATGCAAGACGACGGATTGAATGTAACAAGAATGTCTATTCAAAAACTGATGCTGATGAAAATTCTCAAGCACCACTTCAGATACAAGGAATTAATATCCCAAATAAACTTTTACCTATCAAAGTCCCGACTTCCGTAATAATCATCATCATCATCTCTATCCCTCCCCCTTTCCCTTCTCTCACTACGGTCCCTGTGTCTATCTCTATGATGGTGATCCCTGTCCCGGTCCCTTTCCTTCTCCCCATCACGATCTCGTTCCCTATCTTTGCTTCTCTCCCTATCTCTGTCCCTGCTTCTCTCTGTATCCCTGTCCCTACTTCTCTCCCTATCCCTGTCCCTCCCCTTTTCTCTTTTTCTCTCCTTTTCTCTCCCCTTCTCTCGCTCCTTCTCTCTGATTCTGGAAGATTCTCTGTCATAATCACGAGATCCATGCTGCCAAAAGACATATACATATCAAAAGATTAACAGAAAATAAACGAACTCATATCTTCAAACATGATAATAGCAGTGATACATATAAAAGTAAGGTGAAAAATAATTATTACAGCAATACATATGCTTCACAGTCAGTAATATACTGAGCATACAAGTACAACCAATAGGTATGCACAAATCACAATCACAAATACCATGCGACAGAAAACAAACCTGCAAAGAATAAATTGCATATAAAATACACCATAAAGCAGCCCATATCTAGTGTTTCCATAATTTTTTATTCTTATTATATTTAAATGAAACGTGTGAAAACACCACACAAAATAAGGATAAACACCCAATTTTTTGTTCAGAAATCAAATACTTCCACCAACTTATTTTAATTAAAACAAAACACGAGAGACTTCAACTTCCTTAGGTTCAAATAAAAACAACAAATAAACAAAAAAAGAGCCCTCAAACATTTTCGTAATATTTATACTGTAAGAAAACGCCCACTATATATGGTACATAGTTAACCAAAGTACAAACCTTACCACCACCTACACATCTCTACCGACACACTTAAATTATCAAACATGAACAACATCAACATCAACATAATATTTATACCGAACTAGTTGGGGAAATTCTATACATAGAAAGGCAAACAAACAAACAAACAAAAACGAAATCTAAACCAAATCTCACGCAACCTACACATCTTTAGTTCTGCACACGAATCTAGAAAGAAAAAGGAACTTCTTTATCCTGCTTCGATTCAAAACAAGGAAAACAGTAAAACCCTCGTCCGAAACCCCAGCAGAGAGATTAAAAGTGAGAATACATCGAAAACCCTAATTTTGTACGAAACTTAAACTGCCTATAAACGAACATGAAGAAAAAAAAATAACTTTAATCAAACGATGGTGTGAAAATAATGGAAGATAGAGTGAGAAAGCATACGCGAGATTTGGAATCGGTGAGATCGAGGTGGGTAGTGTCACCAAGTTGAGGAGAAGAATCAGCATGAGCATGACCATGAGAATTGTGAAGCTCTTCTTCTTCTCCGTTCCCTTCATATCTCTCTTCGTATTCAGCCATCTCTCTCTCTCTCTCTCTATCTCTCTCTCTCTATCGTTGAGTCAGAGTCAGTGCTTCCTTCGCTTAGCGAATAGTTCTGAACGACGGACACTTTTTTTTTTTTTTTTTTTTTTGGAAAAATGTTTGTCGGACACCAATACGTCGTTCGCTGTGTTTCCGATGCGGTTAAATTTTTTTTTGGACTCGTAGACTAGTGAGACAAGTGATTTTGACCGAATCCAACACGCGGTTAGTGTATTTGGACACGTTTTGGCATTTTTTGTAAAAAGAGAAATAAAATTACAATTTAAAAAAAAAAGTAAAAATATTTAATAAAAATCAAAAAGTTTAGAACCCTATGTCCCCATCTCGTTATGTTCAATCTTCACGCAGGACGCTGTTAGCTACTTCTTTGTCATCGCCTCTCGCCTCATCTCTGCTTGTTGTCTCTTCTTCCTAGGCTCGTCATCTACGTCTCTGATCCAAATCAGAAACTTGGTAAGTCTCTTTCGATCTTGATTTCAACTGTTTATTCCTTGTGTAGATGGTTTTCTCTCCTTTAAGATTGGATCATTAGTGTGGTGTTTCTTCCTTGTTGCTCGTTCCATTGTATATTTCATCAGTGGCATCTTCTTACTTGTATGTTTAATTTTTGCTTATATATGTTATTTGGCTTCGGTCTCAAAAATATGTCCCCCCATAAATATGAAGTAGCTTAATCTCTGTATTTTTTAAGTTAATTTTGTAATTAGTGAACAACTACATTAACATTTTCCAAAGTTAAAGAATGAAGGCCGATGACATGTGACCACTGTTACAAAAAATAACACTTATCATTTTTTAATATAGCCAATGATCAGTATAGGAGATTCAGTTTTCTAGACTCTCCAGTGCAGCCTATGGTAGGTTTTGAAAAATATTTGTAAGAAGTCAAATGGATACTCCATAGCTAATTTTGCCCAAACCTTGGTTGTTAAGTTCATACCTGTCATTTGTTGGATTTGCTTGCATATGGGTCCTGAACGTGATGAATCTTGTTTGTGCCTTAACAATTGGGCACTGCAACTATTGTAATTGCATGTATATATGATAAGGTTGTGTTGGCTGAAAAAGTGGTATAATCGATTGTGTGAGAGTTGAAGTGATTTGCAACAACCCCAAATGGACTACTATTGTGTTATGTGTGAGGAGAGGGAATTGAAAGAGGAGAGATTGGGAGATAAATTGACATGATGTGAGATGTAAATCCCTTTATGCTCACTGATCCATTGACGAAAATGATGGAGAAGTAGAGAACGAAACAGGGAAATGGAATCAGTAATTAACTTTATAACTTAGTTATCTAAGAGTACTAGGTTCAGTATAAACATTGCTATATCATTCCTCAATCGAGCTGCCTTGGTGGGAGGAAAGAATTTGATCAAGAACTTTTCAGCATGGTCCTCTCATCTTCTAATTGAATTAGGTGGTAGAGTGTTAAGCCATGTCTTAGCTCTGTTGGAGAGAGAGTAAGGAAACAGCTTCAGTCTCAGTGCATCAGATGTAACTCCTTGCATCTTAAAGCTGTTTGTCACGTCCATGAAGTTCTTTAAGGTTAGATGTGGGTCTTCATTTGACAACCCATTGAACTGGCCAATAGTTTGCAGCATGTCAAACATCATTGGTCTAAACTCAAATTATTTACTGCAACATCAGGTTGCACAATGGCAGAATGAAGATGGTTAAGTGCTAGCATTCCATGTGCCCTGATTGAGATTTCATCCTGGTTTAGACCTCGTCCATCAACACCAGAACCTGTTATTCTTGCTGCCATGTCAGGTAATGCTGTAGCAATGCTCTGTTGCTGCTGCCTCTTCCTAGCTTGAAGTGTTCCTTTAATTTTTGGATCAAAGTATACTTATGTTTAGTGAGGGGGACTGTTCATGTACTACTTGCAAAACCTGAAAGCATAAAGAAAAGGGATCAAGTATCACTTCACAAAGAAACTAACTTTATAAGTTTTCCCCAGCAACGGCGCCAAAAACTTGTTGTGCAATTGTGTACCCCTTTTATCAATCACACATTACGCAAGTGCACGTGTCAACACGTAATAAAGTGGATGTGTGAGTGCCGATATCGTTCCCACGAAGAAAACTATAAAATTAGGATCATTGTGAAGCAATTAAGGTAACAATAATGATTTGTAATTGGCTAATGACTAATTTAACAATTAAGAAATAAAATAAACTAAGAATAATGATTAACTAAAAGAATGCAGTAACAAAATAAATTTTTCCAAGTTTTCAAAGATAGATTGGGATCAATTTCCCCAATATTGCAGTTTCACCAGAATGCAGTCACAATGCTACAACAATCATCCATTCAATAATCAAACACTAATGCATGCAAGGGCTTTCACCAACAATACATGTATACTAAGTCCCACATCTCTATGGCCAACATAGTTATAAATCATTAAGTTCAAGTTCCATATGATTTTGTGGTGTGAATGACCTCTCTACCCACAATTAACTAATTTTACTTATTTAGTTAAACCACAATGTTTAATAATTTCAGGATTCATCTATATCTTTATAGCCTAAATCCTAAGTATCTTGCAACTCTCTCTCGATGAATCAACAAGATTAAAGACAATTTAACATTTTATTAAACAATTGGAAGGAAAATCATGCAACAAAGTTTAGGCAAACAGATTACATCATAATAAGGGTACTCTATCACCCAATCCTAACAATTTAGCTCATACTTGAGTGGAAAGAAACAACAAAAAGAAAATAGGATTCCATAAAGCTAAAATAAAAAAAAACATGGGTGTTGCTGTAGCACTGCTCTCGCAGCAACCATGGGCTCCACCACCATCCACCGTATCTCAGCCGCCGGAATAGTGCAGAAAGTCACCGGATTCAATGATCTCTCTATTGAACCCTAGCTCCTTCCTTTGATTCGCTGGATCTCTCTCAACGAACCCCCAAATCCTCTTTAAGTGTTTCACGGCTTGGATCTTCTCCAAAAGCCCACCTTCTTCTAAAAGAGAGACTGTCCATCCTCAAAGAGAGACTCCCCAACCTATTTGATGTGTGTAGGCTTCCACTTTTTATAGACTCTGATGAATTGGGCTCCAATTAGCTCTTCAAATCCATTACAAATCATGTTCAAATCTACTATGTTTTGCTGCAGCGCTGATTGGAGATTCTTTCCTTTTTTGTTGCAGCACTGATTGAAGATACAACTTTGTTTTGCTACAGCGCTGATTGGAGATTCCTTCCTTATTTTTTGTAGCTATGATTGAAGATACAGCTCTGTTTTGCTGCAGCGCTGATTGGAGATTCTTTCCTTATTTGCTGCAGCACTGATTGAAGATACAACTCTATTTTGCTATAGCGCTGATCAGGGACAACATATAATGCTGATGCATATCTAATCCAAATCTTTCCAAATATACTTCAGATATGATTTGGATTTGTGCACGCTGATTTGTGGGATATTTGATTAGAATTCTTGAAGATCCTTGAGTGATTATTCTGATCAGAATATCTACTTTAGTGCTCAGAAGCTTCCCTCCATTAATTTAGGCTTGGGTCCATAGCTTGCTGGTGATGATGTCAACCAGACATGCTACTGACCTCATCTTCGATCCTACAACACTGCTTTCTGATGCTACAGCACTTACCTGCAATAAAATAGAAAATGAAATAAATGATTTTTACACTCAAATATCAACACTTAGCATATTTCTTATTCAAATCTTGAAAATATAAAATTCATGCAATAATCATGTAAAATTAAGAGAATTATGCATATTCATGGCACCAAAACATCACATTAAGCCTAAAAATAACTCTCTTTCAGAGAGTTATCAGGTTGACAATAATATGGTTTAGAGTGCAAGATGTATATAATAAGAGGTTAATACTTTTATCTTTTGCTCCTTTTGTCATTTGGATTTTTTATACACTAAATCAATCTCATTAATTTTATTTTTGTTTGACACATTTATAGAATTACAATATAGATCATTCGAGTTTTGCCTCCGCCAATGCCAGTAATAGTGTCACTGCTGCTACTAGTGCTTCTGGTGCCAATGAACCCTTACTTCCAAGCTTCGTGTACTTATGCAACAAATCATAACATTGGAGGCTATTTGCCACCAGGATATAAAACACTGCGAACCACTCTGTTGCAAAAGGAGAAAGAAAATATTGATAAGTTGTGTGAATCTATTCGAGAGGCTTGGACTCATAAGGGGGTGAGTATTGTAAGTGATGGGTGGAGTGATTCACAAAGGAGGCCACTCATTAATTTCATGGCAGTATCTGATGGTAAAGCAATGTTTTTAAAATCAGTTGATTGCTCGGGGGAGATTAAGGATAAAAATTTCATTTTCAGGTTGTTTGTTTGAACTTTTGTATTCTATTTAAGTGTTTTTTTGCTCGAGGGAGACTAATGATAAAAATTTCATTTTCAGGTTGCTAAAGGAATTTATTCAAGAAGTAGGAAAGGCGAATGTGGTTCAAGTAATCACAGATAATGCTGCAAATTGTAAGGGAGCAGGGCAACTGATTGAGCAGGAATTCCCACCTGGACACCGTGTGTTGTTCACACATTGAATTTGACTGTGAAAAATATTTGTGCTGCAAAGAATATGGTGAACAATCAAATTACGTATGAGGAATGCAGCTAAATTTCTGATATTATAGGTGATGTTGCTGCAATAAAGCATTTCATTATGAATCATTCTATGAGATTGGCCATCTTTAATGAGTTTGTGAGTTTGAAGTTGTTTTCTATTGCTGATACTCGTTTTGCTTCAATGATTGTGATGCTGAAGAGGTTCAAATTAATAAATAGCGGTCTCCAAAATATGGTGATAAGTGCAAAATGGAATATTTATAGAGATGATAATCTTGGAAGGGCCAGACTTGTGAAGGAAAAATTATTGGATGATTGTTTTTGGGATTCAGTTGATTACATACTTGCCTTCACTGCTCTTATTTATGATATGATCAGAGCTTGTGACACTGATAGAGCTTGTCTTCACTTCATATATGATATGTAGGATTCAATGATTGTGAAAGTGAAGAAAGCTATATACTATAAAGAGGGGAAGAGGATGGAAGAGAGCTCCTCTTTTTATGATGTGGTGCATCACATTCTTGTGGATCGTTGGAC